AAAAAAAAAAAAAAAAAAAAGAAAACCCGAGCAGTATAACAACAACAGCCCCACCCCCCTGTTCGTTTCTCTCCTCTGCGGCGCGTCCACTTGTTTTTTTTAAAGCCCACGGTCTTGTAGAGGCCAAGGACCAGACCCGCGGTGATTGCTGGTAGCAGCAGCCAATGGTTATCCTGACAGGAAGGGCCAGGCCACCTAACCTATCCATCCTTACATTAATACTCCCAGCGCACCCCCTGTCCCTTCTATCCTACCTCAGTGTGACCAGCACTCAGAACCATCACCCTACAAGTATCGAGGGCAACTTGGACCGGACAGCAGTGACAAGCACCAAGGCTGGGCCAACCTCCCAGCCCTATTGGAAGCGGAAGCAGACAAACCTTGCCGTACGGGAACTTCGGACGCCAGGCTCCTGCAATCTTCTACAGGCCAATTCAGAGAGTCTACCCAGCAGGATTACCTAAGCAAGGCAGGCCAGCACCCGTGGACACATCCTACCGTCCTTCCCCTAGCTTACCCAAGGCTAGGCGGAACTCAGAATAGCCAGAGCGACTTATATCCCTACCCTACCCTAGAGCTACGCCATGCGTGAGTAGACCCCGTCATATACCTGATAGACCCCCCCAGCCCAGTATCATAGTTGTGTGTATGTGTGTGTGCCCAGAGGCTACGTATGTTTGTATGAGCCCATAGGGCCATGCGTTTTTGTATCTGCCCGAAGGCTATGTAATATGTATGCTCTGTGTAACTGTATTATAATAGAGAGATGTATGTGCCCGAAGGCCAGATACGTGCAGTACTATGTAGAGGGAGCTATGTGTTCGTTTGAAGAGATGACAGGCCAAGTTGGACAAGAACCCCCCGCAAAGTCCCAAGGCAGACTCGAGCCCGTGATGTATGGCATGTGACCTGAAGACTCTACCATCTGAGCGACAATCGCAAACGGCCGCTGTGTGTGATATGCCAGACTGGGGAGATCAACAGAGCAACCACGAGCAACAGCCACACGCAACCCACACAGTATCAAGACCCGACATACAACGAACACCATGGACAACCCTTGGGTGGTGCGCAGGCTGTGTCTGTATAAGCTTACCGTGCGTGTGTGTCCAGCCGTGCCGGCCCGTGCGTCATTCTAACGCCCTGCCGGTGTCCATGTTGAAGGCTGCAATTTAGTTTTGAACCCGCAACCTCGTACCACAATGCTCATTTCCAACCGGTGCTCTAACCACTGAGCTACATCAACTGGATGCCTCGGATGCCATAAACGCAACAAAGGCCATCGATGACATTTATCAACGGTGGCCCGGCGCTCGGCTGGCCATCGATGAATGCCAAGGCCTGGAGGCGCTGAACTGCCAGCGGCACACTTTTTCTATTTTTTGGCTGGCTCCGCCAGCCATCGTGGCCTGGTAGGCCCGAGGCCTGAAATTTTCGGCGTAGGGTGACGAGCAAATCTCCACAAGGCTGGGGCCGTGTACCAGCAATTTTACGTGAGGGGCCCACTGCCGCTGTCCGGGCCAAGTACTACTGGTGGTTTAAACCGCAAGTTCAAGCCCCCAGCCTTGCAGAAATTCTTGTTTGTCGCCACAAGCAAAACTCGGCGGGGCGCGGGGCGACGTTGAAAAAAAAAAATCGGCGGCCTTCGAAGTGGCCCTCAGGCTGGTTTCATGCTGACAGCCGTGAGCCCATGCGTGGTGTACTGGTGCTTTAACTCTCACATCACATAGTGGTTCACTGACTGAATCCCGTGAGTGGAGGGCTTCAGGGCATAGTCACACGAGTATTTTCCGGGATGTACCTGAGCCAATATCTACCATGACCTGGATGTATGTGACTGTAATTACGTCCAGAGCTTAGTTCAAAATTTAAAGTCCTAGTGTGAATATGCTCTCAGAGTTTTTTTAGAAGCTACTTTTGATGGCCAGTGTCATAAAGTATGGTGTCACTTTCCGAAAATGGGAAGGATATAAGCCCTTCATTTTTTTATTTTTTTCTTACTCAGGGCATGCTCGCACTTCGTGTAGCACGTTTCTAAACGTAGCTGTTCTTATAAGAAAAAAAGAAAAAAAAAACGTAGCTGATCAAAACTACAGCAGGGTCTGGATGCATCTGACAGCAATCAGGTCCAGAGCTGTGTGGAAAAAGTTCCAGTTCAGGTATGTCCTCAGAGAGTGGCTCTGATGACAGGCGCTAAGTCCCAGTCACCATGATTCTGTGTTTCATGCTGTTGATCAGCTGATGTTGTGCTCAAACTACCTTCTTCCGCAGAATACATGGCTGCATCTAGACTGAAAGATACCCCGAATACACATATAATGACCCTAGGTTGTATTTGGGGGAAGAACGTAGGACTTTTCTGGATGTTTCTGACCGCAATAACGACCGGCCCAGGGTGTATCAGCCTGCAATCACGTCGCACTCCAGAGAGTAGTGGAAAAAGTCCTAGTGTGAGTATACCCTGAGTGTATGGTCCAGAATGGAGAATCCACCAGTACACCCGGGCCTATGGGCGCCTTACTGAGCGCCAAGCTTTTCCGAACTGCCAGTGCCGCACTTCGTTTCCTTTTTGGCTGGCGCCGCCAGGCTCCAGCCATTGTGGTCCAGTAGCTGTCTCTTATACACATCTAGATGTGTATAAGAGACAGGTCCAGAATGGAGAATCCACCAGTACACCCGGGCCTAGAGGCGCTCCACTGCGCCGCCAAGCTTTGACGAACCGCCAACGGCACAGTTCTTTTCTTTTTTGGCTGGCGCGGTCAGCCAATGTGGACCGGTAGGCCCGAGGCGTGAAATCCTCGGATGGGCAACCGTTACGGGTTCATTTTCAGCAAGGATGGGGCCGTGCACTGGCGGTTTGAGAAATTATAATCAAACTGACCGGCGCATGATTCAGATAGTTGCACAAAACGTGAGGCTTTACTCTCGTGGAGGACATAATGTGAAAAAATAAAGAGTGGAATGCTCGATGAGCATTCCAGCATCGCCCTTCTGCCTCGTCCACTCAGGCAACGACAACTTCGTCTTCCTCGTCTATATAGTTGTCCTACCAAGCTACTGCTAATGCCTCCAGATGATGTCAAGACCTATGCCCCAATCACCGTCCGATCCTCCTCCTTCCTTCAATCACCTTAGATCATACTATTCATGTAGGAACACGCGATAGATTCAGTTCCTTCGTAAGTTGCGGGTAGCTCCGCTGTGTCCGGCACCAGTGTAACGTAATCTCGGTCGACCGATGCAATCGAATCGCCTTGGGCGCGTCAGAGCGCTCAAAAGGAAATGATCTCATTGTTGTTTTTTACCGTACCACCTCTGTTCAGTCCGTAACCGTCGTTCTGTACGATGCTAGCGACTACCTTCTGTGTACGTTTAGGTCCGTCACCTGCCTTCTGTCAGATGTAGTCAGTGCCACAACTGTTCTTGTACTAAAGTCCAGTGAAGCAATTTTGAAGCTGTTTTTTTACACATTTTTGACCGTCTTAGTGTCAGTACCGCCTGTCTCAAAAATTTTGTAGGGTACCCGAGAAGCAGCGACTCAGTAAAAAATAACTTAATAACGTCAGTCGTGTCCTGCTGCAGGGAATCCTGTGTAGCGTGCCGACTGTCGTTAGTGCTTTTGATCTCACCGGACCAAAACTCCTGAAGGGCTTAATCGAATGAAAGCGCCGAAAAGACCCCTCAAGGAGTGTCTCCTGCTTTTTTCAAACGATGTAAGCACTTCAAGAGGGGTCGTTTCTTCTGTGTACAAACTGTTGTTTCCAAGTATCTCTTACTTCCATCTGAGACTTCAGATGTGCATTCCAATTTTAACGAGGGATGATAACATTTCTGAAATTCCAAGATCAACTTCTGAGTGTGAGAGGGACCCGGTGCATCCTGTTTGCATATTGCAGCGATGAAGACATCGTCCACAAAACGCATTCCATGGATGAACTTCTCATCAACGGCCAGCGAGTTCATCCATCGGTATTCATCGTAGCTACAGACGAGGTTAGCGATGGGAGGACTAGAGCTTTTTCCCATTGGAATTCCTTGTGTCTGCTGCAATAGGTTCCCTTGCATAGAAAAGTATGCATGCGAGATATCAAACTGTAATAAAATGGCCAAGTTACGCATATTAATGGTCTTCCATCTCCACGTATCTTTTGCTTTTCCCAGCTCAATCTTCTTTCCATGCAGTTTAATCCTGATGTGCGTGTTTCCCCGTTCCAGTTGTTCACAAATCAGCCAGTCAGCTGCTATTAAGATGGGTGAGTGATCCAGACATGTGAACATGTCCTTCACGTTAGGGACCGGATGAAACGCCGGAGGAGCTCGGCAGAGGTTTTGACGATAACGGACATGACGTCCTCTTTTGGATCGAGCTCGATAGGCTGGATGCACTGTTTATCTTTTAAGCCTACCATGTTACGTTCGGGAGACTTCGACGTGTCTAGTATCTTCCCTCACCTATTCTTGCTGTTTTGCCTTCTATTCCTCCTTGCCCTGCTCTCTCTCTCCCCTTCTCTCTCTCTCTCTCTCTCTCTCTCTCTCTCTCTCTCTCTCTCTCTCTCTCTCTCTCTCTCTCTCTCTCTCTCTCTCTC